TGAACAAAGTGTGGTATATTTATGTAATGGAATACTAATCGGTAAAAAATAATGAACTTCTAGTACACGCAACATAGAAGATTCTCATAGAAAATGGGAAAGAATGGGCAGAGCCTGAGAATTTACTTGCATGCTGAGTTAAGCTGCCAAAGATTCATTGATGCTGCCAAAGATTCATTGATGCTGGTAGAAGACACAAAAACTCCTGGGTCACAGATAAAGGAAGTTTATTAGTCCTGACAATAACACTGAGTAATTTCAGCCTAATCCCTTTCTTCAAATTACCTAGTCCATATTCCCATGAATATGATTTTTTTCATATACCTTGTCACTCAGTTAACTTTTGACAAGAGGGGGGGAAGAGTATAGAGTATCTCTCTGCCCATGAAGAATGAGATCAAATTAAATTTCTCTAGAAGGTAAAACAAACAAACAAAAAACCGACTTGTAGGCTTGACAGGCTTCTTTAGTTACTATTTTGGGGACAAGAGAAGAGTATCAACATTGTGTCCAACTGTTTCTGAAAGAACTTCTCACGCAGTGATTGAAAGTGAGGCCAAATCTCCTTGGCCATGCAAGGATTAAAACACAGCACTTTGAAGCTATCAGAGGGAGGCACTGCGGCACAAGTTTGAATCCCAGCCAGGGAGGTGACCCACATGGCATGGCAGACCTCTCTAGTCCTGCCCGCTGCTCCCCTCAGTTGTGTGTTTCAGTCAATCTGCCTGTTCTGCTCCTCACTGTTTCTGGTGAATCCTGTCACTCTCCCCTGCCCCTGCCCCAATCTCTGGCCTGTAACCCAGTTCTTGTATGCATAAATAAATTTTAAGTGAGGCCCAAAAATTGGCTCTAAGTAACAAAATGTGTCTGTGGTGTATCTATATCTATATTTACAAATCTGAGTTTTTGTGGTGGGGAGGAGGAGGAGGATAATAAACAGTTTTATATTGCTAATCTTAAATCGAAAGGACTAAGTAATATCCCAGTACACTAGTTAATAATTTTGTACAGTTCAAAATGCTATCATCATTTTGTTGATTTTTACACAGTTGAGTAATAAAGAGTGAGAAAACTTTATCAAATACCCACCAAGTCTCCAAAATAAAATATTTCTGTCAAGGAATCCTCAAATCCGAAAAAATCAATTGCTTGTTATATTTTCAAAGACTCTAGAAAAACTATAGCTAACATATGACATTTTTCATTTAATCCCAACATTAACTGAAGTAAGACTTGAAGAAAAGGAGCTTAAAGCTAATATCTTAATTTACCTAACTCACAATAATTTGGAAATGAGAACAAAGGAAAGAAATTGCTTACTTAAAGGTGTTCTTGAGAATGCCTTGGGGGTGTGTGTGTGTGTATACATTATATGTAATACACGTATATATCTATGCATACACATATACATATATAAAAAGGTATCCTCTTGATCTAGCAATTTTACATCTGAAAATTTATTCTGAATAAAGCAAAGTATGTGCAACCTGCACACATGTACACAGATGTTTACTGCAGTATTATTGAGATCTAAAAAAGAAAACCACCAAAATAATCAGTTTAAGTAATAGTAATTGCTAATCCTACCACATATTACATTAAACGGACTGAACAAATTCTGTATTAACACAAAGGACTTTTAAATAAAACAAGCCTACATAGCCAAACATGGGAGGTGGACAGCAAGGGACACAGAAGAGATGGTTGGGAGCAGAGAAGACTGTGAGTTACTTTTTGTGCCTCAGGTTCAGAGCAGTAGAATGAACAAGCTAATGCCATGCTAGCCTAAAGTGGGATTTAGGTGGAGATTTGAGTATCTTGAAACTGAAGTTTAAACTGCCACGCAGTAAGAGAGCATTTCTGTTTACAGTTTCTTAAATTCCCTGAGCAAGCAGAGAATTGGAATTGAGATGTTGACATAAAGATGAGATCCTCAAAGAAGTATGGTCAAAAAAAAAAAAAGGCTATACGAAATTCCAACCACCAGCTCAGAGAAGATGAAAGCTGAAATCTCTTAGGTCTTTGAAGAGGAAAAGTTCTCTAAGTCCTCTAAAAAAAATAACAATTTCAAGTCTGTGATATATGAAACTGTGACAAATTAACCCTGATAATGTGACCTAGAAAATTTAAGTTTAATAACTGCCCACAAAATTAATCCAGAAGCCCTAAAACCCATAAATAGCTGGATGAAATATGGGGGGGGGAAATGCTAGTGGAACATATGTACAACCCAGAACACATAGAATTCATGTAGAAAATACAAATCTAGGTAAAGATAATCTTGAAAAAAAAATACAACAAATTTAAACAGACGAATCAGCTTCATGAGAACTAAAGCTAGAACAATCCAAATAAAACTATTAAAATATATTTGAAACAATAGTGTGATAAAAGACTAAAACCATGATGAGAAGATAAGTAACCATAAATCTTTTTTAAATTAAAAAATTTGAGAAACATAGTAGCTGAAGCTGAAATTAAAGTTTGAGTAGTTAGGTATATAAACTGAAGTATTTAGGGCTAAGGTTGCTGATATCTGCAGCTTCCCTTGAAATGAATCATGGCACTTGAAAAAGATGTTTGTCATTACTTATCATAAGGGAAATGCAAATAAAATTCACAATGAGAAACCATCTCACACCCATGAGAATGTCCCAGAAACAGCAAGTGTCAGTGAGGATGTGGAGAGAAAGGAATCCTTGTACACCTTTATAAGGAAAGTAGATTGATCCAGTGCCTATGGAGAAAAATATGGAGGTTTCTCAAAATAAAAATAGACTTACCATATGATCCAACAATTCCATTTCTAGGTATGTACCCAAAAGAAGTCAAAAATACTAATTCAACAGGAAGTATGCTCACCTATATTCATTGCAGCACTATTTACAATACCAAGTTATAGAAGCAATCCTAGGATGGATGGATCAGTGAATTAAGAAGATGTATTATACACATAGAGTACCACTCAGCTATAAATAAAATGGAATCTTGCTATTTGTGACAAGAATGAATGAAATCAGAGGGGTTTATGCTAAGTGAAATAAATCAGCAGTAAGATAAATATTGGATGATCTCATTCATCTGTGGAATGTAAATAAACAAAACAAAAGGTCAGATAATGCCAAACCAAGAACAAACTCTTAGAAGTGTAAGCGTGGAACTGTCACTACTAGAAAGGGAGAGGGGAGGAGCCATGCACTATGCGGGAAGACTATTGGTGACAGGTATGGTGTGGGTACATACAGCTGAAGAGGTACAACCCTGTAATTCTGAACCATATGGCTTTATAAACCAATGCTACCTTAATTTAAAAAAAATAATAAAATGAAAATAAAGGTGGATAGATGAATCTATATAGGGTTGGATAAAGTACATAAGTGTTAAAGAATGTAAACTGCAGAAGCTGAGTGGTAGGTATGCAAATCACTATATAAATACTTAAACATTTTTGTATGTTTGAAACATTTTGATAAATTTTGGGAGAAAATCCCATTAATTTGTATCACATTAGTTACTGTTGTTGTAGTCATCATTATTTTTATAACAGCAATAGTTAACACATAGTACTTAAATTTTGTCTTGCACTTTTAAATTGTGTTTTAAATATAGTAATCAATTTAACCCATTAACACAATAAGTGCTACTGTCATCCCTATTTTATATATCATGGGTCTGAGACACAAAGTGGGTTAAATAACTTGTATGAGGACACACAAGCTAATAAATTAGGATATTAGAACTAAGATGGGAATCTGGCCCTGGATTCCTTGTTTTCAACCCTTATGCTACAAGGATAAAAGCTAGTGAACTGGAAGAAAAGATTCACAAAGTAACCTGAAATACAGGAAAGGCAGTGTGTGAAAATATGTATACCATATCCATTTTTACAAAAACATTCTGGATCAGAAAAAAGGATCAGCTAAAAAACAGATGAACTCCTGCCATTTGTAAGCACTAAGCACTTAGATGGAACTGGAGGGGTTTACACTAAGTGAAGTAAGTCAGAGAGAGAAAGACTAAACCAGATATTTTCACTTACATATGGAATAGAGAAATAAAAGAATCAGGCAAAGCCACACCTGTGACAAAGCCTTGACCTCTGACTACAACCTCTGAGGCAATCAGAAGGGAGAATGGGGAGACAGGGGTGTGAAGACCCCAGTGTAACATGGTACCGGATTACTGGGGCTTTGGAGGTAAGCATGGTAGGAAAACATATACTTTAGAACCCCCAAACAAGCACAATAATGCATACCAACTTTACCTCTGTAAACATAACTGGAGGGAGAAAAAAGTCAGATTCTGAGAATAGACCTGAAGAAGGTAGAGGGAGGAAGTAAATTCTGGTATATCTATAGAAAGGAAATTGATTTGGTCACTTTTAGTGTGAATTTGGTATGTATTTTTAACACACAAAAAGGTAGAAAATAGTATATATGAAAATCTAACAACATGTATATATTAAAATGGATACTTTTCTGTTCATTGATAGTCCTGTATATGCCAATATAAATAACTGCACTTACATGTTAAAAGCTACATATCAACATTTGTGTGTTTATATGTATATACTCCAACATACAGTGATGCAGAGTATATATACTCACATAGAAAGAACACAGGTAAAGGGAAACATTGTGAAGTTTCTATAACAAAATGTTGTGAATGTTACCTATGGCAAGTGAATCTTAAATTTCAACTACTACTAATCATTGCTTACATTTAAATCTTTCAGCCAACATATTTCCATTGATTCTATTCTAATTTTTTCCCTCTTAGTTTTCCCATGCTGTCTCCAATTTATCATTTTTGGTGATTACTAGAACTTTTACTGCATGAAAGTGTAAGTTTGCTATTTCATAAACATTTCTTACTTATATCAACTTTATTCTTTTCAACTATATGATTAGTTGATGTGCATGTTACTGAACATGAAAGGATGAAGCAAGCTAACCTCTTTAGGTCCCTTCAAGTCTTGAAGTTGGGAATCTATAAAATACCTGTTTTTTATGGAAATCCCGCAGAGCCGTTTCATAACCTTCTTCCAGTCTACTGAAGGCTATTCCGACATCTGTGGTCCACCAGATTTGGGAGCTAGTCAGTGCAACTTGAGCCGGGAAGTCAAAAATCCAGAGTTCCCTAGGTTTTTCCTCATAGGCCACTATGGCTTCCGCGATAGCATGTTGCACCGTTTCTTGCATGGTCCGTTCCAGTTGCAGAAGCCACATCTCCACCTATCGAAGCCAGTGAAAATGTTATAATCCAGGCTTAACTATGAGGCAGGGATGATTCAGTCCTCTCACAGGCTCCAAAGCCATGCACACAGTGAGTGCTGAGGGCGGGAGCTGTTATTTTATGCCCACAGAAAACTAGAAAAGAGATCTCTCAAAGGAGATTTATGACTGATGAAGTCTTTCCTGCAAGAACCTGTCTTCTCCCAGGGACACTGCTTATTTTATTTCACCTACCAAGTGGCTAATAAGCTTTCCAAACTCTGACCAGAGGAGAAGTTTTTGATTATTTTTCAGATTTGAGGACAAGGGTATTCTAAATCAAGATCCTCTCTGGTAATGCACAACATTTTCAGAAACCAAATGAGGCACCTATACCTTAATGTGTTCTTAGTCCAGGCCTTGAGGATACTGGAAAATTGTTTTAAGACATATGTTTTGATAATTTTCAAATAAACTACTACGAAAAAATTTTCTTAACTCTCCATACTTATTAGCCTTAAGACAGTGTTTTTAACAAGTATCTTAATTGTATTCCCTACTGGTTCTTATGTTTATATTTGTCAGGAATTAGACAAGAGTTGTGTATGAGAGAAAAGACAACTGCAGATATGAAAATTATTATTTTAATTCAGTTCAAGTTTATTTCACTCCCACTAATATATTTCAGGTTCCTATTTTATTCAAATATGCTTGTTATATTTATAAGTATGTTTCCATGGGACATTATATGCCATTTGCAAATAATTAACTACATAATGACTATATGTAATAAATTCCCATGACTACATGAGATGAAGATGCTAAAACAGACTTCATTCCCCACTTCTGTAAAGATTATAATAGCATTTATTCCTATAATCTCACTCAAGAATTTATAAGGAATGATATATGATTAATAAATGGACAACCTTCTCTCGACAGAAAAAGGAAGCACATCCTTGGTAAAGGCCAAAACATCCTAAGAGCCTTCTCTTCTGGCTTCAGAGTTGGACTTTGATAACATGTGTGAGTTTCTAATCTCATCAGTGGGATCCTGCATCTCTGCTTTAGTCACTAAGCACTATGCTTCATGTCACACCAAGCAGTACATTCCCTCAGTAAAACAATCATTTGGGCATCTCCCATGTATATTGCCACAAGTCCTTAAGAATGTTGCATATACACATTGACCTCCCCCACTCATTTTGGCACTTTGTAAGCTTCTATCCAACCATTATAACAATTAACCACTTCTTACTAGTACTCAACATTTGTACATCCTCTTCCTCGATGAACCTAAGAATACCTCAAAGGCAGGAAACAAGTCTTATTTCTGGATCCCTAAATTCTAATTCAGTGCCTAGTATACAGTAGGTATTCAATAAACTTTTGTGAAATAAAATGTAGTCTAAATTGGGAGCAATCAATTATATAAAGAGGTAAGGGGAAAGATCTATAGTAAAATGCCTTTTATAAAACAAAGGCAGTTAGGGAGTGAATGTGGTATATGCCTGAAAGTCTCTAGCCTAAGTTGTTTTTATGGAATAAATTAGAGCACTGTCAAACTTTCAAATATCAATGGCTCCTGCTAGCGACAGCCACATCGGTCAATTGGACTGTCTTCATTCCAGGCAGTATGCCAGTCGGCTAGCAGTCTGCTGGGGAGGGAGGCAACAGCAGTGTACTTTTGTCAAGATAGTTTATGGTGACTTTTTCTAATCACTGCAATAATATCCTTAAAAGCCCAAGAGATTAAAAAATAGATTTTAATCAAAGTATTCCACCATCTGCTTTCCCTACATTTGGCACATATTTCTGGTACACTATTAAAAAGCAACAAAGAGTATGAAGAAAACCCCTGTTCAAAAAAGGTTGCCATCAGGTTTCTGCAAAGGACATTTTAAGGAGTCTCCTGTCCCATCCAAAATGGTCCTCTAATAGAAGCAACTATCTCTACACAAAGGTCACCTAAGAAGATACAATTTCTCTACATCATCTGAAGACACCAAGCATTCTTTCACACATCATAATGAGCCGTTCTTGCAGATAATTCAACATCTTTGAGATACTTGGCTGAGAGAAGAGAGCGTGCTAACTTGTGTTGCTGTGCGTGTGGTAGAGTACATGACATCAGCCTGGTGGATGCAATCAAGTGCATTTACTAGTGCCATCTACGGTGTTCACTTTGACCACTGGGCTGCAAGTCCCTTTAAAACATGCTTAACTGCAAGGTTCTGCTTCACTGCAACACTCCCCTGTACTCTGAACAGCTTTGAAGGAGACACAGTTACTGAGTTAGTCGCATTCGGTAATTACCACACATTTAATCAGCGATAATCCCTTCTGTTTGGTACCTACAAGGGGCCTGCAGGGTGCTGAAGCCAAGCGAGCACAAGCTGGGATGTGTGGCAGAATGCCCCTGTCACCCTGGATCTGGAAATGGGAAATCTCCCAGCACAAAACTAACCATAGTCTGACTGACATGAGATGATTTCTTTTCTTGCTCAATTCAACCTTTAAAAAATATCCTGAAAATACACTTTTAGTATAGGGAACCTTATAACTAAATCTTACATGGCCAGTGCAGTCACACTGGGCGTGGAATGGGACATATTCCTTTTCTTTGCTGTACATTCCAATTGCTCTGTGTGCTGAAACATCCTGATCATCTTCAAACCGCAGATCTGTGATGCTGTCGAAGAGCTTGGCAAGGTGACGTGTTACCTAAAACAAGATAATTTGAGATGAGGGTGTTTCGACTAGAGATATATCCTGGTTACCTGGGGTGGGGATATATAAAGTCACAAAACTTTACATAGAGTTTTCTCAAAATGTTTCTCGTCAAAATAAAAATCACTTGTAAAACCCCAGAGTTTGAAATGACCTTGGCAGGGCAGAGGCTCTGGTCCTGCCACCAGGTGTGTTTCTACCTGAACAAGTTACCTATTCCCCACTTGTGCAGACTCCTCAGCTTTGCTATCTGTCCTACATTCCTGTAGGCAATCATCTGCTAGGAGTTTTGTGGGTAAGGTTTAAAAATTCACACTTATGTATATATTTGTACTATTTTAAAAAATCAATGTTAGGATATCTTAAGTAAGACTCAATGATACCAATCACCTTATCTTATGAGTGAGACTCTATGTTATCATGCCCTACAGGGATCCACAGTATACTTGTTACATAAGATAGGTGAATACAATTCCTCTGTTTTCACTGAAAAGGAAATTAAAGCTAAAATAAAGGGTGACTTCTTCAAGTTGTATTGCTGAACCTCCAAGACTGGACCACATCAACTAAATGCAGATACTGCTGGCATCATGACGTTTATTTCCTGATGTATGGAATCTAGCATACTGAAGTCTATGTACTATGCTCCAGGTTAGTTACAAAAAATAAACAGAAGACCAAATTTAAAGACAAAGATCAGCATTTTTCCCGCTACAGGCCTGTCTGGAGATGAAAGCCTAACTGGTCTATAAACACCAGGATGAGAATACTTATCTATTCAGTCATGTTCCCACAGACCTCACCTCCCAAAGTACTGGCAGGGGAGGAAGGGCTACACTCTGTAGATGGACTCATGCCCATGGGGAATGAGAAAAGATTACCAATCAGGTATGATGCGCAACCTCCCTGTGGGACTAAGTCAAGGGCAGAGACCAAGCCAGGGGAGGTTTCAGGAGTAGGAGGTGTTTCCTCCTCGTGCATCATACAGAAAAACCTGCTGAGTGAAACATACTTTGGCAGTTTCTCAAAAAGAGAAACACAGAATTACCATATGACCCAGCAATTCCACTGCCAAATAACCAAAGTAACTGAAAATGGGTACTCAAATCCTTTTATGCTACTGTTACAGCAGTATTATTCCCAATCTCATATCCACTGATGGATGAAAGAAGAGAGTGGTATATACACACGAGGGAGTATTCTTCAGCCTTAACAAGGGATGAAGTACTGATATGAACTAAAATGTACCTGATCCTAGAATACATGCAGTTAAAATAAAAAGTTACCAAAGAATATATATTCTATGATTCCAAGTATGTGAAATGTCCAAAATAGGTAAAGCCATGAAACAGAAAGCAGATTGGCTGTTGCTAGGGACTGGGAGAGCAGGAAACAGAGTGACTGCTTAATGAGTATGGGGTTTTATTTTGGGGTGATGAAAATATTTTGGAACTAGATTAATGCAATGGTTGCACAACATTTTAAAATGATTGATTTTATGACAACCAAAGATGCTTTGAATCTACGTATTGTTTACCAGCATAGAGGTGTTATTGCTATACCGAGTTTTCTTCAAAATACAGTTTTGACAGGACTCGGTAACTTTCTCCAACAGCAAATTTTAGAAACAACAGCAACCTACTTAAATTTCCTACACAAGACCAACACCAATATATTTGTAAGGAATATATCCGTAAAGGTTATCTAATCTCTAAAGCTTTTAGCTTTAACATTTTTGCTGTATTTGCAGTTTTCAGTTTTAAAGAAAATCACAACTAGGTATCTTCTGAGTTTAATATAGATGAGTTTTTGAAACTCTCACCTACTTTAAACGTAGACAGAGCGGTAGCCGATCATCACTGCTTGGGTTATCAGACTCTCCTCTGTCCCTGTGCATTACCCAGAGGACATTTATACACAGGAAGTATCTCCAATAATCTAACAATTCACTGTCACTGCTGAAGTGAGCAGGAAGTGCACAGATGCTTAATGGCTTCCACTGTGGAATGGGTCCACATAACACTCAGGTGAAAGCTGTGGGATAAATGAGACCTCAACCATCAGGCAACTCACACATTGCCTTGGTGAGAAAACAGTTTCAAAAGAACTTCAAGCCTGTAATCAGTCAGCGAGCAGGAAACACAACCCCGTGGCTTGCAGTTCTCCTGTGACTTATACCCCGCTTGCTGGAAGTCAGTTATTTTCATATTCTATCTTTTTAAAACCACTGGGAAACAAGACTTTTTAACAGACCCCCTTAAGGTTTGTCCCATCTTAAGGTTTGCCCCATTTCTAATGAGGTCTCTTTGTATTTATTAACATGAAAATTCAACCCCTTTTTCTAGTTTGCTGGTTGGAAAGACCTTTAGTTTTACATTAAAAAAAGAAAACCTAGTGCCGTTTAGACTCCTTTTTTCCTTCTCACTAAAGAAATAGAAAGGGTTTGAACACTTCAAATCATTATTAAAAGAGCCATTGTTATTGCATTTTAAGCAGGTTTCTAAAAGGTTAAAAACTTCCATTTAGAGTATTATGTACATGGGGTTGGTCCAAACCTAGTGTGCACACATACAGGCAGTCCTCTTTCCACACAGTCCTGGATGTGGATACATAAAAGTGACCATTGAAAAGAAAAACAAGTGACTGTCAATTTTAATAATCAAATGGGAAAATTTACAATTGTGCTGTGATCTCCAAAAAGATATCAAAACATCTCATCTCTGATGAGATTTTTATAAACTTTTATGAAAGTTTATAAAAATTTCAAATTGAGACTTCTAATATACTATAATTTAAAAAATGAAAACTAGGGATTATATCTCTTCGAAGAAAACCTGTCAAGAGTAGTTTGAACAGTGCTTGCCTTATTCTTCTCATCTTTTAAGATACAGAATAAACATCTTTTCTATGACTTGTGTTAATTAAAATGTATAACCTGTAAACAAAGTGAAAACTCTAATGCATCTAGGCAATTTTACAATTTAAAAACAAATATTGTAATTGGGATAAAATGGTCTACTCTATGACACTTTTTACTGTTCACCTTGAAAACAATGGGAAGTAAATGAAGTTACTATAGTTTATAATTATATTCTCAAAGCTTACCACTTGCTTTTCAGTTCTAATATCATTTTTACCCCAACTATGAAAAATGTCAGGGATAATTATGGAGAAAAAATGAATACAAATCCTATACCAACACTGGCAGAGTAAGCATTTCATTCATATGTAGTTATTAGCACACTTATCCATGATTACGATAGTATTTGTGAGACTATAGCTAATAACCAAAATGTTAAGTAGTCCCATCCATCACAGATATTATCCTCTGGGAAAATTAAAATGAGCCCCTTATTTTTCACATTTGAGTCAATTTGTCAAAATGTTTGCTCTTTACTTTTAATAATACTCCTTAGTACAGATGACAGTACTGGGTGATAGACAAGCCAACACTGTCGAAAATCTAAAAAATGCAGATGGTCAAGTTGACTATGGCATATCCATGTAATGACAGCTTTTATACATATTCATCATAAAGAACAACATGTAGAAGAATATATATCTAGAACATACCTGTGCACAAATCTATAAGCACAGAGATATTTTTAAAATCCAACTTTGTTATAGTATACATGCACACACAGAAACACACAGACTTTTCAAAAAATTATAGTAACTCAAAAATAGCAATTAAGAGTATTCTACTCTATTATTGTCTATTTCTATATGTTTCTAACTTTTGGTAATGAACATGCAACTACTTATATAATCTGGAAAGATTACATTATCCTAAAGTTTGGAAACCACTATAGCTAATACTGTTGCCTGATTTTCTTTTCTCAGAAAAAGAAGTCATAGTATAAATAACATTTTGCAATTTTTCACATATTAATAAAACTTAAACTACTCACATATATGTGCTGATTCAATGCTTCACCTTTAACATCTTTAGCCTTGGTGTATAAATGTGTTCATAACACAAACCTGAATTTTAGTAAACTTTTAAAAATTGTAATAGAAAAATGAAAGATATCATGAGTATATAACTTAATAAATTTTAGCAAGTGAAATACAACTCTTAAAACCACCAAGAAGATTAATACAACTCTTATAATACAACTCTTACAACCACCAACAAGATTAATAATAGAATGTACCTGTACCCAGAAATCTCCTCATAGCCCTGGGGTTCTGGCTCTATAGCTCTTTACTCTCTGGTCCTCTGTTCTACAAACCCTACCTACCTTAGTCTCCTTGGACTCTCAGCTCTAAGGCTTCAAGTCAGAGCCCACAGAGTCGGCCTGGTTCCTCATGCCTGTACCATAACAGGAAACATTCTTGAGGAAGCACACTGAACCATCACATAGTTCACCTGTTCTGTTCTGAATCTCTCATAAATTACTACGCTCTGGCACCTGATGCTTAGGTTCTACAAAGCTCTTGTTTCACATTTTTTGTCAAAGTTTGGGTGTTTTTTTTTTTCCAGGTAAATGAAAAGTCAAGTTGGCAGAGGGTAAATCTGATTCCTATTGCCTCATTTTTGCCAAAAGCAGAAATATCTTTCTCATAGCTTAAATCTACATTTCTGTGATGAATTATAAAGCTGAGCAATCTTTCCTATGTTTACAGACTATCACTGTATCTTCTTTTTGGCTATACTTTCTTAAGTAATACTTGAAGTATTCTGCCCACTTTTATATTAGATTGTCTTTATCTCTCTGGTTATTAGAAGTCTTTATATATTCTGCCTATCAGTCTTTTAAAGTATTGCAAGTACCTTTTCCAACACTGCTTGCATTGTTAGATTGTAATGATAAATCTCTTGATAATCAAAGTTTTTTTCAATTTTAACAAACTTATCAAACTTCCTACTATTCAATATTTGACTCCAATTTAGAAAATCCTTACTTATCTGAATGAAGATCCTGACTATACTCTTCCTCATACGGTGTACAATATTTTACTTTTCCACATTTAGACCTACACCTACCTAG